GTTTTACTTAAATTAAGTTGCATCCCATTCACAAGACACCAATTTTGCACTGAATGAATATCGTCCTGTAACAGTTTGCAGTCATCAACATCGCTGATACTCCGATACATCTTTAAGTCATCAGCAAATAAAAGGCACTGTGAATTATGTATGGAGTCGCAGATGTCATTAATGAATATATTAAAAAGTAAGGGGCCTAGGGTGGAACCCTGAGGCACCCCACACTTAACACGATAAGGATACGAAAGAGTTCCACATACACGAACAAAAGATTGCCTGTCAGAAAGATAACTATGGAACCAGTCAACATAACTGGGTGATAGTCCAAAGTTTCTAAGTTTCCCAAGAAGAATATTATGAGGAACTAAGTCAAAAGCTTTAGTAAGATCAAAGTATACCGAATCTGTTTGTCCTTGAGTACTAACTGAAGGTAAAACGGAGTTAATGTAAGTAACCAATAATAATAACAATAATATTACTTTCAATATAATATGCAAAAGCGTACGCAAGCCACAAAAGATGTCACATGGTGAAGGACCAATTTGAAGGCTAGGTCGTCTTTTCTAGGTGCGAATCGAAAGAACGCTGTTTGCTTCGAGGTGAACGACATCTGTTCACGTGACCTTGCCAGACCATGATACAATGGCGGGCCAGGTACTACTACTACAGATTGTATTCGTTCCAATTTCAGTTCACAACAGTTCCGTCGAGTTCTCTCTCGGGTAATTAATTAGGAAAACACTTCACGGGAGCTTTGAGATTGAAACGTGTTGTACTTGTGGAAATCGTGAGCAAACAGCACGCTTGGACAATCCATCAAAGAACTTCCCGCTCCATGACACCCTACCAACTCCTTCATGGACAAGCCGTAAGCATCGTAGTTTTTATGAACGCTCACAACTTATTATTTAGTACTAGGAATGCGCGTATTTTATGGCTTAGCTTTGACTCTGACAGACGCCTCTAAGACTGTCGTTGTTGAGCCCATGGTCCCAGGGATGAAGACTAGCTCTTTCCGAGGGGTCCAGCTTTCTCCTTTGTTGCTTGACAACGGAAACGGACCCAGTTTCCGAAACGCCGTGTTTGAAAACACCTACGATGATGGAAAATGTCGAAAACAGTGATCATGTCTATGAAGAGATTCTGTTGAATGTGTAATGTAACGACGTGCTTCAAGTCCTGAGATTGTTTATCTTTGAGAAGTGAGGATGACTGAATGGTGCTATATATAATGATGTGGTAGAAAGCAACTGTGGTCTGCTTCAGAGTACTCTGGCTATGTTTTCCCTAGTTCTTAGGCAAATTGCTTGTTTTGAGGAATTGTAGTAAGTTATTTTAGTAAGCATTCAAGTTACTTTATTGCAACCTGGAGAAGTACTGCAGCTTGGCCGTTGTTATATTTCAACCAGTCGGTAATTTCTGGATATGTTGTGGTTCCATGAACGATCCTCAAGGAATTCGCTGTTAACTTTACAGAAAAGGGACTTCTAGGAATGGTGACCCGTAAGTAATTTTGTCGTAAGTTTAAAAATCTGGGAGGTGATTTGTAGATAACAGCCTTCTGTGATATTGCGCAGTGTAGTCTCGTATAAGTTGTCCGACGTGTCAAAGGTGCTTACTGCCGCCGTGGGAACGAGTAGTCTCACATAGGTAATATCAAATTACTATCCGAGTCTTGTGGCTGCACGATTTAACACTTTGAAACATGCATCTCATTTAAATAATTTTAAAGATACTCAGTTTCTTCCCGAACGAAATCACAACCCGTCATCATTACAAAGATCTGTTGGCTCATGATGTTTAAGGAAGTAATCGTTGTTTATTCTGAGATCGTACCAAACCCATAAATGCGCTCTGTGGGCAGAATGCATGGTGCATGTAAGTGCTAAAGATCTGAGGTGCAAATTTTTGGGCCTTGAATGTTTGTCCGCCTTTTAATATGCTGATATCCGGTGTCCTGTATTGGCAAGAGCCCTTGCACAAACTGCTTCTCGCGTGTCGTTAAAATTAATCCACTCAAAACGAACGTCAAGAGAACAGGACACAGTGCCTGCTTCGTATGGAAGCATATTCTGTGTTTTATGAAGATTACACTATACTCACTGATATGATTTTGTTGGCCTGGCATTTTTTGTTTAGAGGTGCGCCCGTCCTTGATGGTCGGTCTTTGTAAGATGGAATCCTGTAGAGTCTAATTTGTGCACTCTCGTCTCATTTGTTTATTATGTTTGGAGAATATTAGACCCACAGTGTACGTTTTCAGTAAAATAAATTAGGAGTTTCGTTCTTGAGATACTTCAGTCTTTAAATTACTTTTCGTTTTTTAGGCGCATTACGTTTTTAATCATCCAGTACAACCAAATTTGGCCCTCCTGTTATTTTTGTAATAAAAAACTTAAGTACGAAGCACATTTATTGTACACCTGGCAACATTGTTGGTGCGGTCTTTTCTTCTTTCTTTTCTTCCTTCTTTTTTTTCTCCATCCACATTTTTCTTTCTTTTTCGCTTCCTTTAACACGAACGCCGCTCGGTTGTCAGATCCGCCAAAGGAAGGGGAGAGAAGAAAGCAGTGCTGGCTCTGGGACCGACCGCTGTGCAAGTCTGAAGAGAGATTGGGGGGGGGGGGGGGAGGGGGGGAGACTGGTAGCTTGGTAGAGGGGAGAGGTTGGATCCCTCAGACAGGGCTGCTTGTACTTCAGTCAAACAGGGGAAACAGAGTCGGAAGGTTGTGTGGTACAACCAGGTTAGTTGTGCATCATATACACGTGTCTGCCTTTGCGGCATCAACGACACTGAACTCGTGCTTTGGAAGTGTTCTTGTTTCATACTGTGCGATCGTTCAACCGTATCGTGGTATCTATCAGTGGTAGAACTGGAACAGCAGAGTGAAGTTACGAGACGGGGGGGGGGGTCCATCACAGCCCGCGAGTGTGCATGTGGCCTCTCAAACGAAGGAAGCATAACAAAATAACTCGACGAATATTCCACCCAGCAATGCTTCTGAAAAAATTGGTGGTGTTGCAATAAGACGAAGTACAAGGCGCACAAGAAAATTAATGTGAAAGTAAACGAAGAATAACAAGAAAGAGTGCGAAAGAATATAATTAGATAAAGAAACTAGAGAGTTGCAACGTTGCCACATTTTTAAAAGGAAACTGTGAGGTCTCTTCTTTATATTGTAAAGTTAGGACACTCGCCAAGCCAAGTCTTTGGTGCTCCTCACGCGAAGGTACCAGTGCAAGTGAATTCCGTAGGCTCATTGTGTTCTGTGTGACATGTGTATTTGGCGCCGTCGGATTGGATCACGGAACTGGAGTAGCGTTCCGGCTTAAAGACTGCGCATACAGAGTCGTAATAACGTTTCCCTTCTCCGATTCAAGACTTACTTTCTTCCCCCCCGCCATTCGGAACCACTACGCCACCCCATAGCGGCATCTAGAACCATCCTTGTCTCGCAGTAAACCACCCACCAAGACGACCACCACCAATCCTCCCTGTTTTAAAAATATAACAAACCCCATAGTTTGCAAGCCGTTCCTTCTCTCCAGGGAGCTGAAAGTTTCCAAGAAACTGTCCCGCGTCGTTTGAAAGGAACACTGATGAAATAAACTTCCAATTGTCATTCCTCTCCTTTTTCGTTTTTATTTCGAGAGGGGTTTTCAACTTGTAGTTCAAAACACCTGCCAACAGTGGAGCCCTCAGGTAATGTACTAATCTGTCAATTGACGATCATGAGAGTTCTACATGACTTGCAACTGCGCACTTGCAAAACTTCTTTGCTTCTCGATAGCTGACCAATATGTTCCGTCACATACATTCCGCCAGTGTTGCGTGTTCAGCGAGTGTCGTGGTTCGGGAATTTAACGATATCGCCAAGTTGTATTCATGAGTTGTGATCGTGTGTCTTCATCAAGAGCAAAGTGTATTACTGCAAATTATTGTGCATGACGCAATTAAGAGATAACCCCCCTCTGTCTCCGGGATTGTTGCTCAGTGTTGTACTGTATCATCGGACACTACAAGAATCTGCTTCCAGTGGTAACCACATGGCGGCTAACCTAGCCAAGTGGTGGAAATCCAAGATTCTTAATGGATACAGACAATTCACAGGTAAATAACAGATAACAACTGGTGTTTCTTGGAAAATGGATCTTTTAAGTTTCTGCCGACTGATGTATTTCTCATGCTAGCGATTACAGGTGTGATGGAAGATAAGATAGTTTGGAGACCCTTGCCCCTGCTGTAAGTAAACGAAGAATAACAAGAAAGAGTGCGAAAGAATATAATTAGATAAAGAAACTAGAGAGTTGCAACGTTGCCACATTTTTAAAAGGAAACTGTGAGGTCTCTTCTTTATATTGTAAAGTTAGGACACTCGCCAAGCCAAGTCTTTGGTGCTCCTCACGCGAAGGTACCAGTGCAAGTGAATTCCGTAGGCTCATTGTGTTCTGTGTGACATGTGTATTTGGCGCCGTCGGATTGGATCACGGAACTGGAGTAGCGTTCCGGCTTAAAGACTGCGCATACAGAGTCGTAATAACGTTTCCCTTCTCCGATTCAAGACTTACTTTCTTCCCCCCCGCCATTCGGAACCACTACGCCACCCCATAGCGGCATCTAGAACCATCCTTGTCTCGCAGTAAACCACCCACCAAGACGACCACCACCAATCCTCCCTGTTTTAAAAATATAACAAACCCCATAGTTTGCAAGCCGTTCCTTCTCTCCAGGGAGCTGAAAGTTTCCAAGAAACTGTCCCGCGTCGTTTGAAAGGAACACTGATGAAATAAACTTCCAATTGTCATTCCTCTCCTTTTTCGTTTTTATTTCGAGAGGGGTTTTCAACTTGTAGTTCAAAACACCTGCCAACAGTGGAGCCCTCAGGTAATGTACTAATCTGTCAATTGACGATCATGAGAGTTCTACATGACTTGCAACTGCGCACTTGCAAAACTTCTTTGCTTCTCGATAGCTGACCAATATGTTCCGTCACATACATTCCGCCAGTGTTGCGTGTTCAGCGAGTGTCGTGGTTCGGGAATTTAACGATATCGCCAAGTTGTATTCATGAGTTGTGATCGTGTGTCTTCATCAAGAGCAAAGTGTATTACTGCAAATTATTGTGCATGACGCAATTAAGAGATAACCCCCCTCTGTCTCCGGGATTGTTGCTCAGTGTTGTACTGTATCATCGGACACTACAAGAATCTGCTTCCAGTGGTAACCACATGGCGGCTAACCTAGCCAAGTGGTGGAAATCCAAGATTCTTAATGGATACAGACAATTCACAGGTAAATAACAGATAACAACTGGTGTTTCTTGGAAAATGGATCTTTTAAGTTTCTGCCGACTGATGTATTTCTCATGCTAGCGATTACAGGTGTGATGGAAGATAAGATAGTTTGGAGACCCTTGCCCCT